AGGAGTGTGATTGGAGGGCTCCTAGTATATAGGAATCGAGGCGCTACCAAGAAATGCAAGGGAAAAGCTGTGAATTGCTAGAAAATGTAGATGAGCAGGTGGGGAGATACAGAGGTGTCTTCTCTAATTCTGGACTGCTCCAGGGGATGGTGCAGCACTAAGTTAGAGCATCCACAAGGTTGCCTAGGCTGTGGACTTTGCTGCAGTAACCTAGAGTAACCAGAGCAGGTGCTCCTACACCAGGCGCTGTGTATGAAAGTGGTGGAGGGCTCTTTGGCTCTCTAGTGACATAATTCTCAGAAGGGCCTTGCAGACCTTTCATGCTGTGACAGTTTGCATAAAAGGGCTGTGTCAAGGTCAGAATATGTCCCCAGGCCTCACAATGAGGTACTGTAGGTGAACAATGTCCCTCTTCTGAGAGTCTGCTCCAAGTGTGGAAGAAGATGGCACCACATTGGGAATTAAGTGGAGCAGTCAGGAACAGTTTGTGAGGGACACAACAGCATAGAAGAGACACATGGGTCAGAAGAGGAAGGAATTACAGTGGCTGAAGTAAGCAGCAGGCTGAGGTTGTGGTGGTAGCAGAGAAGAGAGAATGAATTTGAGAAGTGACAGTTATGTTAAGAACATTTTGTGTATGGAAATGAGTGTATGTGAGCACGGGTAGTGGGCAAAACTTCTGCTTGGGGAGATTAGTTCCCCCACCCACCTCTGCTGCCGATGCTTCCCCCACCCCCACTCCACCTCTGCTCTGCCCCTATTTTCACTCCCACTCCACCCAGACCTGCCCCTCCCTACCTTTCTTCCCTCCCCCTCCCTGTTCACCATCTCCCTTCTGGCCAGTTGCTCCAGCATCACACAGTGGAAGGAGGAGTCATCCCAGAAAGTCCCAGTCCCCAGGCTGTGGTCCAGGAGGAGTGCCGCCTACTTCATGAATGAAGCATAAAGGTTTTGGAATTGTAAAAAACCACTTCCTTTCCATCTGGTGATCTCAAAGTACCTAAGCAAAACCCCAAACACCTATGAGGCAGGCAATTATTTTTATTATCCCTGGTTTTTGACTGGAGAAACTGAGGCACAGGCAAATTAAGTGCCCATCTGTGGTCTTTTTAAATCAATGGAAAGATTCGCCTTGAGATCAAGCTTTCAGTTATGGGTCCAGTATCACACCAGAAGTCTAACATGGGGGTCATTACTAAACCCTCCAGGTTTTCCCATTTCTAGCTCTACTTTTAACAGTAAGCCTTGCTTCTTCCCTTAAATTGTACTTTCCATTTCTCTTATCTGGAAAGGAAATGATTCTCTTTACAGGGATTCTTAGAGTATATCTACAATACAGAGTTGCTGCTGTTGATCTTCCAGAGTTTGAATTTGCGGGGCTAGTGAAGACATACTATTTTGGACTGAGGGGGGCACTCCAGTTGATGCCAGGAGTCCTTCTTCCACCAGGAGTAAAGGAAGTAGAAGGGAGAGTGTTCTTTCTTCGACTTCCTGCAGTGTGGACAGCACCAAAGTCGAGTTAAAGTACTTCGACTTCAACTACACAATTAACATAGCTGAAGTTGTATATCTTAATTTGACCTTATCCTGTAGTGTAGACATACCTTTAATTACCACATGCATCTGATGAAGTGGGTCTTTGCCCACGAAAGCTTATGTTCCTACACTGCAATTAGTCTATAAGGTGCCACAGGACTCCTTGCCGCTTTTGCAGATTCAGACTAACATGGCTACCCCTCTGATCCTTAATTATTGATTACTGAACAGACTGTGCACACATGTAGTTGTATTTGGGGTACAGTAGAGTCCCCCAAAGGAATATAGTGCAGTGTTTACATTTATTCTCAGCATATGTTTGATTTCTACAGTTTTTTTCAGAAAGGGGCTTCGTGGAGTCTTCTCCAAAAATGTTTAGAATATCCATGTTTTGGAGTCTAATCATGGAGGCTGATGCTTAAAGAACTCAGCTAAGGGGTGCTGGAACATGAGGGGAATCAGGAACCCCTGTGAAATGTGTTTCTGTTTTTCACTGGCTGGCAGTAGCCCAGCTGAATAGGATGCCTCATGCTGGCTGCTGCTGGAGCTGAGAAACAAAGCAGGATGCTGGAAAGCATGGGGGCTTCAGTGGCCAAGCCACTGCAAAATGTGTTTGTTTTTTTACTGCAGCTATGGGACTCCCCTCCTGCTGCTAGGCCTGCCAGTTCTGAAACTGGAACAACTCAAGTCCAACAAGAGAGGGAGGGAGAAGCTAGGTGGAACTGGAGAGCACTGGTGGCCTCGGGAAGAGCACACAGAGAAGGAGAAGGGGAGATGGAGGATCAAATAGGAAGCGAGGAGGAAATCTGTGTTAGGGGCTGGGGCTGAGTGAATGGAGAGAGAGGAACTGCAGTGGGTGGCAACCGGAGGGTCAAACACCAGTGAGAAGAGGAAAGGAGGAATCTGAGGAGCAGCTGAGTGGGGGAGGGACAATGGAAGGAGTGGAGAGGAAGACCTAGCACTGTCTGGGGGGCATAAGCAGGGGCTGGAGGAGGGAGGCAGGATGACACCCACCATGCAGCAAGAGCGGGGTAGAGGGAGCAAGATGTGAGAGAAAAATCTCAGGGTGGTTGGAATGTAGCTTTATATTGTAAGTGAAATACAATTTACTCTTGGGGGATTTATGTTCTGAATTAGATGGGACCAGACTCCGAGGCCAGGTAACAGTCAGTTCTAGCCCTTGTCAGTAACATGAAGATCCTTAACCCTTCTCCTTAGTGAACATAATGTTCATGATCAGTTATCGATCTTCTGAATGAATCCATTGGTGCTTTAGCATGAAATGACACCACTGGGACAGCGTGACCGGATTTTATCCTATAGACCAGATACATTCTGCAGAGCTCTAGCCATAAATTGAATTTCATTCTCCTAGAAACAGCCGTAATAACAGCACCGGCAACTGAAATGCCTCTGTTAACTCACAATACAGGAGCATAGCTGGTGGCACTATTACCCCACCACTGAGCCTCAAGCCAGACTACTGGGGCCAGCCTCTAAAGGAAGAGGGGGTATTTCAGTTCCTGGTTTCATTCATTCCATTTTTGCTTCAGCTGAGACTGTTAACAAAGATACCAACTGATGGTCTGTGCAGTGCCCTCTAGGAAATGGTCTGAGTGAGATCCCACGTTTTCCACAGTCTGACAAAACCTGGTGATACTGTAAAAATATTTGATCTGCGTGTACGAGGCTATAAGTGCCATCCTGCAGATGAGCCTCTGTTCTAAGCCTTGTGGTTCCTCTTACTGACAGATGTTAGGCTTGCATGGGCTGTCAGCTGCCTAAATTCCGTCATAGTGAGTGGGAATCACAAACCCTGTAGCTCTGCAAGTACATCTTGTTATATTATGCCCTTGATGCACACTAGTCAAGAATTCAACATGATTGAGTGGAAAACCTCTAGCAACTAGCCAGATGTTACAGCTAATTATTTGTAGTGTGGGAAGGCACACACTGCATGGCTAAAATTGTAAAATTTGTTTCAGGAGGTAGTTCATTCAAAAAGACACTAATTATCTGTTAAGATTTAACTGTGTGCCATGCAAATAGCATTGAAATAACAAATCATTTTAGCTAACTGGTGCTATTGAAATTCTATTACATTTTATATTAATAGGCTTTAATTCTCATGAAACTGAAAGCCAGGTTTTCAAAGTAAAGTGCATCATGCTTCATGTTTTAAGTTATGCATACAAGATGCATCCTATTTGTCTGTTGCACTCACCTGTGTGCTACTTAGACAGTCAGGGGTCTGTCTGGCCAAGTACACATGAAATTGCCTAATTTACATGCACACATCAGCTATTTGCACTCAGAGAAATTAGGCATGTGCTAGAGTGTGTGTGCAGTTATATGGGTCTAGCTTTGGAAAACAGGCCCCAAGTTATTTCTATTTTGGAAAAAAAAAGTGTTGCTATGGGTGTATTGGTTTTTATTTAGCAAAGCAAACGTGGTTATGTTACACTTCCCTTTTACAGTAAATTGAAAACATTCTCCTCGCTTGTGGTTGCACAGCATAAAAGAGCATAAGAGTTTAAGGCTAGAATTTTCAAAGGAGCCTCAAGGTAACATTCAGTAAGGGGGGCTGAGTGCCGAACTTCCTTAGGTTCATTTGAAAATTCCAACTTAAATGTATAGTGTTTTTTAAAACTAACACAGACATCAGAAACATTACAGGCACAGATGGCGTGTTGTGGCACAGTATCTGGGCACTGAGTGTTGAGTGCCCCACATTCAGGTTAGAAGTTTGCCACTCCATGGGGCCAGAATGTTAAAGACAGTGAAGGTACGTCTCCACAGCAGGGCTAAAGCTGAAATAAGCTACACAACTTAGCTATGTCAATTGCGTAGCTTAAGTTGATATAGCTTATTTTGGCTTTTGGCACTGTCTACACAGCAGGAGGCTGAGGGAGAGCAGTCAGAGTAAGAAGTACTCCAGCTTGACTGATGTTATTCCGAAATAACACTGCTGTGTACTTGTAGCCTAGATGTGCTCATACTGACTGTCCCTATTTTGTATTTCTGGTGGCTGGTTACTCTTTGGGAAGGTCCCCTCACTTCCACTGAGAATGTCTTCAATCCCTTTTGGGACCCATTGCAAGGTCTTTCTGATTAGTCCCATTTTTACATGATGAGCTGGCCTAGAAGGCATGGAGGGCAACTGATTTTCTTTGCTTGGGGGTACTTTGTGAGTACCTTTCAAGTGACAGTGAGTTATGCTTTGATGTATGTGGTGTTTAATAATTATGGGTATCTAACTGGTGGTTGTGGTAGGCTTGGTTTAAACATTAAAATAAATATTATAACAACACTCAGTATTTTACCATTTTGGCTGAATATCAAAACACCAGTAAACATGGAAAAAAAATCAGTATTTTAGTATAATACCTAGTTAGCAAGAGTTTTCTGGTTCAGTACTGAATTACTATACCAGACTCATTTTTCTCCTTTGTTTGTTATCACAGGTTTTTCAGTCTATCCTGGCACACCTTCTCATCTAGTTGCCATGATGCCAACACTTTCAAGGTTTCCTGCTGCTTTATTTCCTGTCCAGCTCCCTTCAGAGAATTCTCCACAAGCCCAGAACCATGTACACATACAAACCAGTCCATCTGTAACACAGACTACCATTCAGAGAGGTCCCCCAGCATCCTCACCCAATAATAGCTGCTCTGAAGCCTTAGGGGAGCACCCACAACCTCCAGTTCCAGGTGGGGAATTAATCAAGGCACTGAAAATCTGCTCCCAATTTTGATATTGTGCAAATCATGAAAGCTAAAACCCATATGATTTTGATGGTTTTTGAATTTATAAACTTTTAAAAAAAGGTTTAAACTAATTTTCCCACTGGGTTGAGATGGTGGCACTGCTGTTTCCAGTGCTGAACTGAGAGGCTTGTTGATGTGGAAGTGATATAGGTGGAACAGAAAATAAACATTAGATTAAAATAAAAAAGTTGAGTGTCAGAATGTAGGGAACATGGTGGTTTTCAGGGAGGAGAGGCTAAGAAGGAACAGATTGTCATGGCTTCCAAAGGTGATAGATGTGTCTGCTTAGCTAAGGAGGAAGGCTCTGTGTTGGCATCTGTGTTTTCACAGAGGCAGATGGCCTTGCCGTAAACAAGTAGGGATGGAAGCTCCTGCTTGGCTCTTTTCTGTATCACATTCTGTGCACTCATTTTCTATAATAGTATTTCTCAAACTTTTTTGATACCAGGGACTGGGTTGCTGTTAGGGAGATGTCAGGGACTGGCACTGGTCTGGACACTGGTTGTTGAGAAACACTGCTTTATAAGAAATGTTGAGGATAAGAAAGAAGTAAAGCCAAAGCAAGAGAAAGTGAGAGTAAGAACAAGAAATGGGAAGCCAGGGAAAAGATGAGAGAATGTATTATGTAGGGATGGAAGGGACGCAAAGAACCTTTGTGCTAGTTTCCTTTAAGTGTACTGCATAGCAAGACCAGCTACAACACATGGATATGGTTTCCTCTTACATTGGGAGATAGGGATGTTAAGTTTAGATTAATTGGCTAATAGAATAGTCGATGCAGTTTGCATCAACTATTCAATTAGTCGATAAGGGCACCTCCATCTTTGAAGTGGTGCAACAGCCTCAAGGCTATTGCTGCTCTTCAAAAGCAAGAGTGCTGCCACTTTGAAACACCTTGGGGAGCCCGGCGACAAGCTCCCCATGGTGTTTCAAAGCGGCGGCACCACTTGGTATCTGGGGTCAGCTGGGGACTACATGGGGAAATACAGCTGGGGAAATGCTGCGTGCAGCCCGGGTTTCAAAGCAGTAGTGCCATGTGGAATCCAGGGGTCTGACCCCAGGCTGCATGTGGAGCTGCCTCTTTAAAGCACCTCCTCTTCTTTTCCCCCACCCCCTTGCTGCCTCTTTCTGATACAAGCAGCACTAGTCGACTAGTCTTTCACATCCCTAATGGGAAACACTAAGGGATACAAGCAGCAGGATGTTTTAAGCCTGTGCCTGACTTTAAACATGACTGGTTAAGCATATTTATGTACTTTGCTGAACTGGGGCTTAATGGAAATTATGATGAGTATGTTTTGTTAGACCCTTAAATTGAAAACTGACAGCTAGTAGCATTAAAATGTATATAAACTACAAATAAAAAAGTGATGGGAAACACTAAGGGATACAAGCAGCAGGATGTTTTAAGCCTGTGCCTGACTTTAAACATGACTGGTTAAGCATATTTATGTACTTTGCTGAACTGGGGCTTAATGGAAATTATGATGAGTATGTTTTGTTAGACCCTTAAATTGAAAACTGACAGCTAGTAGCATTAAAATGTATATAAACTACAAATAAAAAAGTGTTTCTCTGAC